GGAGGAGGGAGAGACAAAGGTTACCGGGAAACACCCTGAATAGGACCCTATCAGTATAAACAGCATTGCCACCTGCCCTTCAGCTCTAATAACCACAGCAGGCAGAACTAACGATAAACTATGAAAATAGATACATCTTTTCCCTTGAGCTGTGTTTTTTCAACCTCAAGAGACAAGGCACCTTGCTTTTTTTCTATAGATGAAGTTTAGAAACATTTAGCAAATTTGCAGGTTTTTTTCCTAAATGAAGTAAGGTCTTTGAAAAGTATTTGGTAACAAAAATTAGCTTCTTCCATCAGAAGATGCTTGCCCTGTATCTCAAAATGGAGATAGCTTAGAAGATGCAACTGCTGATAGGACAAGCCTCATCCATTAGGCACTATCTGCTGAATCAGGAAGGTGAGCAAACTAAGAAACATGGGGAGCTTACACAGCCCAGAATAATGCTCATGTCATGCCAACTGTTGCATCGACCATAAAGGTGACTACTTTAGGTGAACCAGGATACCTCACTCATGCATACCACTTTTTTATGCCCACTATTAGTGCTCCCCACCACGTGGAGAATGCATGAAAGGAGACCCGAACCTAGTACACTGTGAGCTACAGCCCAATAACATTTGATTTTAAGTGAAATCTTGACACTTTTATAATGAAAAGGAGTTTTGTTATCAGCATCAACTCGATTCATAGCTATTACATTTGTAATCATGGCCAAAGGCTTGGTCTGGAAACACCATACACGAAACTGAATATGATCCCCCGATAGTTAATAGTGGTACAATACATTTGTCAATATTCTCTTGAAGCTTCTAGCAGTGAGGTTGCACGCAATAGCAAGCAGCAATAAATACCCTTGAGGGTGTTAAATATCATCAACTAAACAGAGAACATTAGGCAAGGGGATGAATTTAAGTCAGTAAACGAGACAAGTTAATGCACACATCTTATAAATCAAAATGGAAGGAATAAAGAGCCAGTTCCCAGCCTGCACCATTCACAGAAGGGGGCACAAGCGCCTGGTGACTTCTCACAGTCCATCACAAATAACCTCAGAAGGGCAGGCATGATGAGCAGCTTCCCATTTCTATCTGACACTAGTTACTGTGTTACTGACAGTAAATTCTGGGGAATTTTATCTAACCTAATTTTAATCCTTTGAAAAGTTGGAGAACTTGCTTAGAATGGATAATAAGAATGCAACATTTCTCCAAAGCTGTATGTCTAAGAGTGCTGTAGCACCCTCATGCACTGGGGCTTTACGTCTCAGGGCAAAGAACTGAGTATTGGATACCATTAGAAATTATGTTTTGAAATTTACATACACTAGAGACTGTATTTTAGGGTTCTTTTTTTCCATTTAGCCTCGGAATCAAAATTTTTTCATTTTCTAAGTTACCAGATCTCTGTTCCATTTCATTTTTCTTGTTCAACTAATTTAATATCAAACATGGACATCTGAGTTTGAGTTATGTTCTGTTACCTATTTCAGGTGACCAGAATGGCAATTAAAGAGAATAAAATAACGCTGTTCTAAAGGAACATTTTGGGTTTAAACTTATTCTGTAAGTCAGGAGAGGATAATTAATAAGATCTCAAAAACAGTATAACAAACATGGCACGGAAAAATTTACTGTTGTTTTGTGTTCCCTTCTTCCTTCTGAACCATGTGGGAGAGAAGAAAGAAGAGCAGCATCATTATATAGTCCTGTAATCTATACTAAATCACTCAGTTAAAAAGAAATTACACCAGTGAGTTCCTGATGTGCAAAGAATAGCAAAGAATTCAGTTTTGCCGAATACTGTTGCTTTTATGAGGGTGTAAAACTGTTGTCAATGTCCAGTCATACAAAGATTTAGAGGCCTAAATTCACAGAAAGTGAGGCCTCTCTTTTATTTTATTCAAGTCAGCACATCAACTGTATTGAAGCAGTCTGCAATTAAGTATGAATTCCTTATTATGAACTAAAAAGCCCTATCCTATTAGTTAGCACAAGAGGCAAGTGTGAACTCATTATATTGGGAAAGTAGTTCAGAAGTAACATAACAACTCACATATGCGTCTTACCAGCAAGATTTTCCCATGTGAGCACATTAAAGCTTAGGTAAGGCAAAAAGTATCTGGAGTCTCTGCTGAAATATATATTAATCAAATGTATTTAAGAGTCTTAAATTCCTAAATAAATAGCATTTAAATAGAGAAAGAAAAATGAATTCATAAGAAACAATGCAATAATAAATAATTCAGAAAAGCAAAGGTTTTTTATTTAAACATTTATAAAGTGTTTCTCACTGTCTTCTCATATCCAAAACATTTTAAAATTGCACATCATATATTTCATAACTAATGCAGATGCGGGAAGCTAGCTATAGCTTAGCTTCCCATAGAACATCTATTGTGCTTTTGATTACCTGACGTCTGTAACTTAGAATTTGAGCCTTTTCATATGACTTGCCGCAGGATAATCCATCTGAAAAGTAAAAAAATCTAGTCCTTTTATTATTTTGGCCTATTTGAGAAAGAAACGAATCCTAAAAAAAATAATTACACATTCACATCACAGGTACATACATCCTAACACAATACAGAAAAGAGGAACAGCGAGAACAGTATTTCCTGCTTCTGACCTCTTCAATGATAACAGAGCATCCATGCTCATATTCAGGTATCTACCCACCCTCACACACCCCCCGCCTCCATATTGCTATACTCCTGCTATACTCCGTTTATACTCCTGGCTTTAATAAGCAACAGTTTGGCTTCAGGACCGTTGCTGAGGTACCACAAGACATAGGAAGGCTGGGAGCAGGACAGTCGCGCTGGCACAACAGCTCTCGGACCAGGTTGTTATGTCATAGGGTGCTCAGAGCGGCCACAGGCACCCTCACCGGCGCCTGGCAAAACGTTGTTTTCATAACTGGCCACGAGAGGCCTCCCTTTTCTAAAAATATGATATAAAACACATTCTCTCTCCAGGAGTGCTCGAGAGGAAACACAGCGGATGCTTTTTTCTTCAGAGTTAACACCTATCCATAGCTGTATGTTTTCACCTAAGCTCCTCTATCTTCTAAAGCATGAAGAAAGCAAGCAAAAGTGCCAGATTATGAAAAAGCTCAGAACATCTTGGAAAACCTTAATCCAAATGTATTTACAGAGAGTTATGCGATATTTTACACAACTGAACGTTATTTGTGAAGGTGCTTTTTAATGTGTAAGTACAATGAATATAAAAGAAGCACAAGGCACAAAAATACAGAACTGCAAGCCTAGTTGGCATCTTGGCACTTTGGAATTGAAAGCAGACCATCAATATTGTGTGACAAGTCACTTTTCTCACCATACTGATATTCTTGCCTCGTTTTTCTGTATGGCCTCTCTTGGGCCTTTCTTTTTTATTATCAGGTATTTTTTAATAAAAAATATAAGTACCTATACAAGTTTTCTAATATTTTTACCTCATGAAAAGAAAATTTGCTGATGGTATTAATATTTATATAAGTTGTACCAACACAATGAAAAGAAAATTTGCTGATGGTATTAATATTTATATAAGTTGTACCAACACAAACTTAATAAGCGGATGTATAAATTAGGTCAAAGATCTGGAAATTTGGATTCTGGTTTTCTTTTTTTCCTGACTTTACCACTCACTCTATGATATTGTCAGGAAACATCTAGGCCAGATATGTTATAAAAGTGATTGCTGCAAGTAAAAATGATAGTTTTTTATTTAACAGATCAGGTTTTTGTGCATATTCAAAACCAGGTCTGTTTGCTTTATGGTGGGGGGGGGGAGAATCTTCTACTATTTTCTATGCAGCTAGAGGTGAAAATTAGCTGTATTCCACTTACACATCATTAGCACAACCACTAGTTCGGTTCTAGGTGCAGACCTGGCATAACTGACAGTGGTGCAGGAGTTAATGTTGCTTAGGAAAATAAGACAGATTCTATTCTGGACCTTCTGTCATCAGTAGTTATTGGCTAAATTCCCATTGCAAGCTCTGCATTACTGGTGATGAAATATGAGTCAAAAAGAACATAGCATGGAATTCATATACGCAGGTGAGATTTAATACTGACCCTTACAAGAAATAACTTTTTAATATGACTGATGTATTAGATATGCAACTGTTTAGAAACAAGACCACAAAGCAAAGTTACATATTAACAGTCACAGTTCACAATATCTGTGCCCGAACTTAACTGTATTTAAAACCATGGAGGGACACCAACCTAAGTAATTCTAGATGGCTATTGCATATTTCTGAATAAATGTAATTACTGAGTTACCGGTTTACCTCTAACAATCCATCTACTAATAGAACTTATTTACTCACTTTCAAAGTTCCTTACCACATCCCAGTAGGTTTTCTTCGGGGATTTTGCCACAAAATTCTGCTCTGCCTAAATGCCACAGTCCATCCTGTTTCATGCTGAAGAAAAATTCACATATCAGTACCTCAGAAATACTCTTTAATAATGATTTTTTTCTTCATAAAATTATTCTTAGTAGTTTTATAGTTAAGCCTACCTTAAAATCACTCATAGTAGTGACTGTATGCATTCCTAGTTCTTGAGATATAATAAAAACATTCATTTTTCCAATGTTATAAAACATTCAACAGCTTTAGTATTGAAATCTAATTTCCTGAAATACTAGGCTTTTTATCGTGGAAATGCATTTAGTACATTTACATGAGTTCCAAAAAGGGCAAACTCTTAGCTATAATCCTTAAATCTAGATATTCTCATTCCAGCTCTATCCAACCTATCACTCATCGAGCTTTCATACAAACAGCATCTTTGAATTATAAAATCTAACATATCAGCCAAATCAAAAGATCAAGATCATTTATATCAAAAGATCTGAAACATGTTTTCATCTGCTTGCCCGTGTTGGTTGTCTCTGTGCACATGTAATATGCTGGAAAGAAACTTGATTGTTACTAAGGTATTAGGAACAGTTCTGCAAATTCTTCACTTGCTCATCTTCACTTACATTAACTTCAATGTGACTGCTTATATGAGTAAATATGATAACTCATATGAGTAGAAATTCTATTAAAAAGTTCTCCTATGCTCTGTACTTCTGTGTGTAGCATCCAGGTGTTGATTTATCCACTGTTTTTTAATCTCCTAGTGAAGACAATTTTTTTGAGCAAAGATAGCCATTGTGTTACATGTTTGCACAGTACTGTCTAGCACATTTGGTTTGGGCTGCCATTTAAAAGTTTAAAAAGCTACCACAGTACAAACAATACATGTAAAAAAATCTTCCAGTTACTATCTTTACTCAGAAAAGAGTACACAACTTTGGGCTAATAAAATAATTATTTAGATACTGAAACAAAGTATACCAAAGTCAGTGGGATGATTTGCACTGATTTCCATGGGTCTTATGTTCAAGTTCTACTGCAATGACCCTGTGAAATGTAAAGATCCAGCAGCTATGATGACAGCCCTATACAGAAAGACTTCAGGAAATCAGAGAGATTAAATATAATTTTATGAAATACCATTTGAAGTCTCATGAAGTATATTCTGTGATTGGAAAATAATTTTAAAAGATCTTTCCTGTAAACTGTAGAAATCAGGTTGTTTCCATCCCTGAAACATGCCCAAACTTTAAGCACTGTCAAAAATTTATGAAAATCTTAGTTACATTTTTATTGAAAATGCTAGCAAAACTATTATAAGTTGCCTTAGAGAATGAGTTTAAACCAAACATTTGATCTTTTTCAGCCAGCTATCCACAAAAAATGGTATAAGAATACTTCAAAAGCTACTCCTCCAAGCATTCTCATTGACAAATAAAAAAAGTAGTTTCCACCGAGGAAGAGCCATCATTCATGATAACATTAATCACTATTTTAACACAAAAATATAGTTCTCTTAAGTTGAATAAGGAAATTCTTATTTCTTCAGCCTTAATTCTTGCTGTTTGTCCATTACCTTTGTGCAAGCCTGGATTAAAAAGCATACAGTAATAGGCTAAAATATTTCTATGAGCATACTTCAAGATTCACTTCAGGAGATGGTTAGGTAACCACATTAGATGGAAGAAAGAGGGGGGAAAAAAGTCTTCTTAGGTCATCCTCTGTTCTACAGCAGCCTACAGCCAGCGCAGCAGCAAAGATGAAGGCTGTTCTGCTCTGAGAGCAGCCCTGTGTCATCCATGGATTCCTCACCACTGCAGAAAACCAATCAGGGCTAGCTGGGCAAACTGTCTCATGATTTAGTGTGCATGGACAGGGACCGTAAGCATGGATATAATATTTTTATCTTACTAACATATTTATTTTCTATCTATGTTACATAAATTATGCTCCAGTATTGCAGTGATGAAGTTCTTTCACAATTATAGTAGAAGAGAAACTAAAAGGAAAACATTGTGATCAATTATAATATATCAAATTGTTATATTTACTGAATTTTGAAAGCTGAAGAAATTTACATTATGCTCCATTTCTCACTACACCTGTTTTAGCCAACCGGAAGCTTTATTCCTGACATTTCCCAGTGGAAGGCCTTATACATGCGTAACGTAAAGTACCAGCTCTCATTTCTGTGTTTGACAAGAGAAGATTCAGATTCCTGTTACACAAGTTTTATTCTGTTCAGCGCCAGACATTAGAACCCTGTTTTGTTAAACATTCAGATGGAAATGCATTTCTTCTCCTGTTTTTCACTGAACTACTGTAATGGTTAGTCCCTATTTGATTGATAATTGTTCTTCAGGTTTTTCATCTGCTCCCTGCCTCACCCATAAGCGTTGGGGCAACAAGCATAAATATCAGATTGCTAGCTGATATCAATTAGTAAACCTCTACGATGTGTCCGGATCCAAGGAGATTCCACTTTATCTTAAATTAGTCTTTTAGTCTGTGCATGAGTTTTGCTTCTCAAATATCTTAGTTTAATACTCAATATCTGTGTTCTAGGTGTACTGCATAGCCAGGAATTTTCAGCTCTTTTTGCTCTGTGGAGAGATAAGCACACAAGTATTTTCAGGGAAGTTAACTCCAATGTGTGTAGTAATCATTTTAAAAATTAGGATTCTGTGACTTGACTGTTACAAAATGTCTACGCCACTTAAAATTCAAAATTTCCATGGTCAAAAAAAAGTAGAATTTAAAACGCATTCATTATCAAATAGCACACAAACACACTATTCAACTTACTCCTCTTGTAAGCAAGACCCTCATTTGCAAAAGTATAAATAGGACAAGATATAGTTTTGGGCAGCAGTAGATTCTAGGCACTGAATAGCTGTCTATGTTCTTTTGGCACTGACTGAAACATGCTGGCATGATTTTTTCTTAACTGCATAACGTCACTCTGGAATAGAGAACAAACACCAGAGCTACTGCTCGGCAAACACACTTCCTTCACCATGTTTATCGCAATGAGATTTTTCATAGGAAAAATAGATGTAGTTCATTACTGCAAGCTGATGGAATGTGTACTAAAATGCACTTGCTATTTAGCATTTACTGAGTTATCTGACAGAAAAAAATATTAGGCTATATAGAGAAAGGGATGAATTTAAATCCTGTGTAACTGATACAAATGAAAGCATGAAGTTGTCTCTGTGCCCTGTGCAAGTGTAGGGGAGAGGAGAGCGCAGCAGGTGACGGTATGTGTCTGAAATAACAAACCCTTTCCACTGACACCCTAGCTAATATAGAGGGTGGGTATGCAAAGCCAAAAGAGCAGAGGAACAACAAAAGCTAAAGCTTGCTTTTCAAATATTAGAGAGACATAAATTTGGGGGTTGAAGGGGAGGGAAGGGGCAAAGCCTAGATTTGATTTCTGTAATGCCCTGTCAAGAACAGTGTAGTGAACACAAAGGCAGAATTTGACTCGCTTGTTAACAGTCCTCGTAGTAAATTACAGAAATAAAAAATAAAGGCACTATGTTAACAGAAGAGTTGATACGAACAGAACTTAGGGACACAGAAGAAAGAACATCCCTTTGGTCTAGTGGGGATAATCTGTCTTTTTAAAATGAAGAAATTAGAAGTGTTCTCCTGTAGACTTGAATAATTATAATTCTCTCTCTAACATGCCAAATAGGCCACGGACCTTAAGGGCTATCTTACTTTACTTAATTATATTGCAAAGTGAGAATACATGGGGGGGGGGGGTAAATTTGGAACACAAAAAGGGGGAAAGAGGGGGGAAAACAACTTTTTAATCTGAGCTTTTTTCTGACTTCATTTTATTGTACATTTTGATACTAACTTTGACATTGTATATGACCTAAGACTGTTAAACAAAGAGCTATTTTTGAGTCCAGCTTTCCTCCTTTACAAAAGCTTCACGCTTCAGTGGTTCTAAGTCACCTGCAAACACAATCAAGTTCACACGAAAAGAGAGTCTAACAGGAACATGGTTCATATCTTGGAGCAGTATTTCATACTGCGATTAAGTTTGTATTCCCCACACATTTTGTGTTGTTTGAACTGCCTGGCTTCTGATTTCGTTTCCTCCCTTTTTCCTGATGTCAGCCTCTTCATTGCTGGAACAAGCGCTCTCCTAACTGCAGCTGCATTTGTAAACGTTTCAAAGGCCCTGAACGTCTGGTAACCAGCAGACCTGTTGGGTGCTACAAACATGATCTTGGTCTATCTCAGGAGAAGCAAAGCATGACCATATTTATTGCTGATGCTATTCTGGGGGCCGTATGACGTTCTTCTCCCCTCTGGCTGAGCAATGCTTGCCTGTTCATCTTTCAACACTCACTCCAAGCATGATAGGATGAAATAAAACAAACTAATTTTACTGGTAGGAAAATTACTTGCGTGTTGAAGACTTACATTTTAACAACTTCATTATACACTCGCACAAATGCTTATTTCAATAACAATGTTAAATATTTTGTAGTCTAAGTAGATTAGGCACTTAGGCAACATTAAAAAGATCAAATAAATCATTGTAAGAAGATAAAGAAAGGCATAGCTCTATAAAATAATTCAGATTAGTATGGTGGCACAAGCCTATCTGTCACTGCAAATTAAAACTTAACTCAAGTTCATGGCAACTACAAATTATTGTCATATTATGTAAAGCTAGTCAGCTGTTACCAAAGACTCCACTGAGTAATGTTACAAAGGTCTGCTTGGCAGGAACAGCACAATAGCTCCAGCTCTGTACAACACCTCAAAGCCTGGACAGCAGCTGTGTCTCCCAGAAACTGTGAAAACAGAAGGGGGGGAAAAAAAACCCACCCACAGCATTCCTGGAAGTGATAGTGCAAGCAGGATCATCTCTCTCAACCTACAGCAAGTAGCTTTTAGACATGAATCAAAACTTCCTTTGTAGCCAACAGAGAGAGCCAAGCTCTTCCAGTGAGTGATTCAGCCCAACACAGCATAGGATCTACACTGCATTTTGTAATAGAGGAAAAAAAAAAAAGAACTATACAAAACAT